TGGTGGCTGCATTTATCTGGAGGTCTGGTCTGGTCTTGGTGGCGGGGACGGGCAAGGGTTTTACGCCTGTGGTTGGGCCCCAGACATTCGCGCAAGACTACAAATTGCGGGAGGTGGTGCCTGACCATGAAAATGATTGTGGCAAGAGGAGGGGTTTTTTTTTTTTGGCACGTAAGAGAAAAAACAGGCTTTAGAATGTAATCATTTTATGAAATTTATATAGACTTCGCTGAGTACAAAAACCTGAGAGTAGGAAGGTAACTTTAGAATATGCAAAATAAAATCAACACAATACTATTTTAAAATTACAATACCATCCACCAATTCTAAAACCCTGCAATGTCGCTTAAAATTATTTTTTTTAATATTTAACAATTTACCATTATTTTATTAGATGTTCCTTTATTGTTAAAATATTTATCCAACTGGCAAGAGAAACTGTTCTCTTAATTCAATAAGTAAATAAGTAAAAGGTAAATTATGAAGACAAAAAAGAAGGTTCTCGCTATACATGGTTCTTCCTTTCTCTATAAGGAATAAGGATACTTGATTTCCTTGAGATTTTCTATTAAATTTGCTAAAATTCAAAATTACAGGATCAGCTTTCGTACCCAACTTTCGTACCCAATTATATGCAAAATCAACCACAGTACAATCATACCTACAATTTTAAAATAAATCCTAACAAATGAAAACCATTCATTAAATTTTAGGAATTGTCTTTACAATTTCTACTGTATTTGTTTCTGTCTCTCGTTTCTCTATTTGTTTGCAAAAATTTAAAGTTTAATATTTCAATTTCCCATTTAGCTATCTTGCTGTCTTCCTCTCTCTTTGTTTTCTCTTTCATTCAATTTTCAGACTGTTGCAATCTATGCAAAATTGCTCTATGCTGTCCTTCTTCGCTGGAACATTGTCCAAAGCTTAGATTTGCTTTCGCTTTCTGTTACGCTTTCTATTACGTTTTCCCCACTTTCACAATCGTCCATTCATTTCGCTTTTTGTTACGCCAGAAACTTTTGTTTTATTTTAATTTTTGTTCTTTCGCCTGCAACCAAAAATCACGAGTAAATGTCTTACACAAGTTGGAATTTAAGTTGAAAACTTTTCTAATTAAAATTAAATAGAAACTTCGTTTCAGTCGCCCCAGTGAAGTTTTTGATTATTATTTGGATTTTTTATTTTATTTTTTTTTTTTTCATTCATTCATACAATATACTTATTCCGCTGCATTCTTTCAGATTTTCATCCATCCCCCCACTTAAAACTGTCATCGAGATCGTGCTAGGGTTGAGGGTTAAAAACGAAGAAAGTTCTCTGGAAAAAAAAATCAGAAAGGAAAGTTGTGTTGACGTTTAGTTTGAGGTCTGTGAAGGTCAGAAGGTTCTTTGGGGATAAACGGAAAATGTTGAAAACTTGTGTAGGGAAAAACTGTTGGGGGAAAACTGCAGTTCTTGGTCGAAAGTTGTGAAAAAAAGTCTCGCCGCTAAGGGGGAAAATAGACAAGACTCAAAGTGGACCTCTCATTAGTATGAATGCTTTAGCATACTTCTTTGTGTGTGAGTGTGTGTGTGTGTGTGATGATGATGAGCGTCTTAAGAAAGTTATTTAAAGCTTAGCAAGTTAATTTAATTTATTTTATTTACTCATGGAATGGTGCAATATAATTTTTTTTTTTTACCTTGTGACGGCATAAGAAAGTAGCTAGAGGTAAATGACAGTGTTGGAAAACAAAACATCTGAGTCTTTGATAAAGAGATTTAAGCTACATTTTAAAGTTTTCTTATTTCTTTTCTTTTCTTTATGTGTAACCGTCCCGACACTTTTGAAGGCTCTAATGAAATGTTGGAATGACTAACGCCAGAGCAAGCCGTGGCTCTTCTTTAGTGTTGCATAGTGGCCTTGAAAACAAAAAAAAAACAAAAAACTGATCCCCTCTCATATTTTTATCCTCATTACATTCATTAATAATGCTAATTTTCATTTGATTTAATAAAAATCCATGCGCTCTCACAGCCATTAATAAATGTTGACTTCCGTTTGGGCTCAAGACACCATCAGCATTCGCACCCCCTCAGGACTCTTTACTGAAGGCCCTTGAATAAATTTCCATTTTCCACACAGAGATTTTTGTGCGCCTACAATTTACATAATTTATTAACGAGAGTTTGAGCGTCAACTTCCGCTAAGGGAAAGCTCAGCGGTGAGGTGGCGGGGGGGACAGGGCCCTGTCTGTGGGCGAAGCGGCGGCAGTGGCGGTGGCGGCGTCGTGAGAGATCCCATGCATAATTAAACACGTAATTAACCATTATTATTAACGTCTGATTCAAGCTCTGGAATCCTGGGCCCATTGGCCAGCGCGCCGCCGGACCTAATGAGTTTCGCAGAAGAATACTTGGGGAAAAAGTTTTCCAGCAGAGGCAGAGGCAGTGGCAGAGGCTTTTCTGCTGTTGGGCTGTTGCTGTTGTTGTTGTTGTTGTGGCAATCAGACAAAAGCCGCACGCATTTTGATTTGTATCTGAAAGTGTAACTCAGACCAGAGACTGAGCAAAAGTTACGGCTGCTAATGAACATTAATTAATTAAGGTACGTCTCGAGTGGGCTTAGGGGAGTCGGGTACGTGGCAGGTAACTGTTTCTCCACCGCCCAGCTTCTCGGACTCTCTGGCCAACAGGTCAATTACTCAGATACTCTGAAGTTTAGCTCTCCTCTCAGTGTCTGACGTCTTACTGTCACGTCGAAAAGGGTTTGCCACATAATTGTTTTCGGATTGTTGGCAATAGATACTCGAATTTGAGTGTAACATTTAATTGGCCGAAAATTTACTTTAATGAACTGAAAATCTGGGCGCAAGTTGTGTATAAATTGGTAAACGAATGCCAGAAAACTGATACTTAATTTATATTACTTTTAGCAACACAAAAAATGAATACAAAATAAATAATCGATGTCTTTATTTTATTGCTAAAATATAGATATATTTCTTATATGTCCTTGTATCTAGGGGAAAATTTCTTAGGCAAAATAAAGGGTATAATAAGGGGAATAAGGGGAAATCCAATTTCTATTTATATTTCCATACATTATTTAAAATAATTCTCATTCGCTTATTCCATCGCTGTGTGCGTTTAATAAATATATCGTTTTGTTTTATAGCAAAATGACATTTTGTTTAGTTCATTATGAAGGCTAATGGCTGTGCCGTACCATTTTGCATATGATAAAAGCCCATTTGGCGGGCCATAAATTAGGCCCCAGATTTGCACGAATTTGAAACTCTGGCCAATACGACATCCCCCCCACATTCCAAAAAAATTGGCCAATAAATGGTACATTTTCATGGCTATTGGAGTAATTAAATGAGGATTTAGCAAATGTTTCGTATTCATTATTCGCATTTATTAAATGCAGTCATAATTTAGCAATCACACACCACAAAAATACGCGCATTTATTTTTATTTGTGCAACGCGTTTTACTAAATTTTGTCCTTAAATTTTCACCCATTTCCACATTCTTTATTAATTTTCTCGCACAACTTTGCCACAATTTTTCACAGCTTCTGTTCGCGCGGCCTCCCATGGCGCACATCAAAGTAAATGCCAAGGCGTCGGCGTGGACGTGCCACACCTTGTCGCCCGCTCTTTCTATCCTTCCTTCCGGTTCCGGTCGCCCCTGTTGCCCCACCATGAACTCATAATTTCCACAATTAGCGCTGCCTAGGAATTTACATTTGGCTCAAGGTACAACAACAAAAAAATGTTAATTTAAAGCAATTTGTGAGCAAATAAATCACTCTAGCGGGGGTATGCAGGGGAGAGAAAGGTATCGTCGGCGAAGGAAAATGTAGCTTTTACACGTAAATTCTAAAATATTGATGAACATTTGAATATTGCTAAGGGAAATATTATTTAATTAGAAACAAACCCATTGAAACCTAAGCAAATGCTGAAGCTCATTTTATTGAAATTCTTGAGAGAAATGAGTCAAAAAATTAACTGAAAGTCAAGTATTTTCATGCTTTCCACTAAATTAAATTGTTTTCATTTTAAATTAAGATTTAAAGCCAGTTTCCACAGGTAATTACTCTGCACACCTCGCATATAATTGAAACCAAATGTCGCTTTTCTTTTCACTGAACAAATTTAATGAAATTTTCTCTGCCACATTCCGCGTGCTGCTTCGGCTGCATACATAGTTGCATGCCTCTTTGTCATCATTGTGGGTCATAAATCACGCCACTTACTGGCTTTGCAACGCCTGAATGCCTGCCACAATTTATTTCAAAATGCGTTTGTGCTGCGGTGAAAAAAAATGTGCGCGTAATTGCAATATCACGGTGATTTTCATCTATTCTGTAAGGGTTTTCTCTTCTAGATCAATGCGCGAATGTCAACATAAATCCAAAGGAAAAAAAAGAAGCATAAAAGGAATTTTTTTCGTTGCATAACCTATTAGTCAATTTCTTGGGCCCCCCACGCCCAACTCTTTTTGGCCATTTTATGATTAACACTGGGCAAACATGCAAAGCTCGTTGTAACATTTCTGCTGTCATTAGGAGGGGCGGGAGAGGGAGGCCTCTCAGGCATTTTGCTCCTCCAGGAAATCCTGTCAGGAGGAGCTCTCTTACAGGCCTTCCCGGTCTGCCTGTCTAACGAACATTTGTCATTTTCTGCCACTGACAAGCAAACCTCTAGTCTCCCCCCATCGCCATTGCCTGAACATTGGCAAATAGTTGGCCGAGAGCCGCCACCTTTTTGGCGCTCGTTATGGCTCCTCGTTTCGCTGTAGGTGTGAAATTATAAATTGTAGAGAATTTATGAGCCTATTTCGCTGTGTTACCACTATCGCGCAGGTGGTTATTGCTTCTGCCTACTGCCTGTGACTATGACTATGACTGTGCCTGTGGCTGTCCCTCTTTGGGGTAAGATTAATCGCAGCTTTCGTTGGAGGCAGCTTCTAATGGTTAGCATATTTTGTATTGGTAGCAATTTTTTTTCTAGGAATAAATAAACGCAAATACACATCAAAATACTTCAAAAATTAATTTAACGAAAATTCAATTCCACAAATTTCTATGGAAACCTATTAGAAATGATTTCGTTCTACTGGCGACGAATTTTTCTCGGAAAAATAATACTTTTCGTGTTCCTCTTGGTCGTGGGCTTCTATTTGATGCTTTTGAGGCTTACCGAACTACCGTTAATGCGAGGCACCTTCCGAGATGCCAATCGTTTCGAGCGGCCTCGCTTTCGTTTGCAGCAGAATGGAAATTATTGGATCGTGCACGACTACATAGTGGCACGGAGCTCGGAGCTGCACGGCAATCAAAGTGTGACATTGACCAGCCATGGCAGATACGATGACCTCAAGGATCTCGAGTGGTTGATGCTGCGCTGGCGCGCACCCATCAGTCTGGCCGTCTTTGTGGATGAGGATGACTTTGAGCCCACTTTGTACAGTTTTAATCACATAAAGTATTGCACGATTTATGGCCAGAGCTTCACGAAATGGGTATCCGTGCAACTGATCCTTGAAAATCAACATCTAACGGATGAGGTGCGCCGCATGGAACCGCATCGAGCACGCGGCTTTAAATGCCTTTCACAATCGGAAATGGATGCCAAATTTATGCCATCCATTGATAACAATGGCAGGTGCAAGTATCCCATGAATTTGCTCAAGAATGTGGCACGTCAAAATGCCCGCACATATTTTATATTTGCCCTGGAGCTCAATTTGCTGCCGACACGAAATTTTGCTAAAATTTTTCTGGAATTTGCACATGCAGCGCAGCTGCCGAACCCCCTTCGCAGGTGAGTTTTTAAGAGCGGGCTGTTAAAAGGCGTGATAAGCTAGGCAGGAAGCTCTCTTGAACGTAATCGCTTAGAGCGTGCCAGAGTGGGAGCAAAGATGGGCAGGGAGCTTAAACGCAGAGTGAAGTGAGTTAAGCTGCAGCTGACTTGAGCGAAGAGCGCGAGACGAGCATTCAGTGCGCCGCCATGAAACAAAAGCAAAGCAAGAGAGTAGCTTTGGCTTACTTACCGCTTGATCTTGTGGGTGTCCTTGTGGTAGCATTCAGAGCGCAGTCGATTTTTTTTTTTCTTTTCCAATTATTCGTATTGCGAAAGAGTTTCAGCAAATAAGCGTACTAAAGTTTATTATACATTTTTTTTTTGGTATTCCTTACCTTCCCTCTTATTTGTATTTTATGTTTTCCCCTGCAGCGTCTTTTGTGTGCCCATTTTTCCCTACAACAGCAACAGCCAACATCCCATACATCCGCCCAAATTTAAATCCGATCTAGTCGGTTATGTTGAGGCATATCTCAATGATTCCGAAACTCTGCCTGCCCTGGAGTACAACAGATTGAAAGGTCTTGAAAGTTGGCTTCACAGCACCTTCATGGCGGATGAAATGGGCGTTTATCAAGTGGAAAAATCACCCGAAAATTGTGCTGTCTATGTGAGTGCCAATTTGTATGAGCCGTTCTACGATCAGAGAGTTTTGGAATCCCCCTACACAACGGATAGCACAAGGGTAAGTCATAATCTCCAGCTAACAGGAAAAGGAGGCTTCTCTAATTCTCTCAAAATTCTCTCCACAGCTGCAAGTTCTCAGTGGCCTAGAGTTTGATTTTGTTTTAATGGATGGTGCCTTTCTACTGCATCGCCTCAACTTTAATAAATCGTCTAGGGTGAGGAGTAACCACGAGTATATGTCACCAGATCAGGTTCACATTCGCGAAATGATCATGTTGAGCGATCTGACGCTCTGGCCAAACTTTGTTTGATGTTTTTTAATTTTTTTAATTTTTAATTTTTTAATTGAATTAAAGAATATTATGCTCATAATAATTTAAAATCCAAATACTTTTATTTGTAAATAAATATAACTAACTGGCACTTAACATGCAAATTAAATGGACTTTAATGCTGAAAAATGTATTTTAACTCTTATTAACCAAAAAGTAAAAGCTTTTAAAACTTATACCTACAGTAGCATTTAAGAGAAAGATTCTTTTTATTTTTTAATATTAAAACTGTTCTCTTCTGAGTAACTCCCATAAAAAAGGTATGAAACAGTTCAAAAATTTTAAAAATATGAGCAAGGAGCATCCTTTAGTCGAGCTTTATTTGGGGTTTTATAGTCCCATAATTTTAACTGAATTTTAGATTTCATTTTGGATGTCATTTTTCATTTTTCACTCTTGCTGTCGCTTGCTTTTGCACACTTTACCGCTTCTCTTTAGCCTTTTACCACACTTTTCTCCATCTTTTCTCTTCCCACACTTTTCTCCATCTTTTGCGGCGTGCCAAAGACGTTTCATAGATAAGCACGATGCGGCTTTCCTGGTGGCAAGACCCTTTTGCTTGGCCAATCAATAAGGAACTCCCCGTAATGGAGACAACTCCTCCTAAGAGTTAATATGCAAATGGATACAAGGAACGGCTAGGCGGCATATCCATTTGCTGTGATTGCTGTAAAATAATACCGATTGAGAGATTTTGCCAGCCATGACCATGGCCAACAGAGTAACAATCTAATTACGACTGAAACCCGAGTATTATGCCACAGACAGACACACAATAAATCCAATCATTCAATGGCATCGATGGCAAAAATCCAATTTCAATTAGCAACCTAACCAAATTGTCATAATTTCGACACTGACATTGCCCAGGAAATAATCAGCAATCAGCTTTAATTATTTTTACGCGTTGCCACATTTTCTGGCTTTTAAATTGTAACCAAAAATCTGGTGAAAATTGTGGGGAAAAACTGATGGTTGAAACAGTGCAAAGTTGTGGATGAAAACTGCCTGTGGAAGAGCATCGCGTCGCGTCTGAAATTTTGTTACCCATGCTCGTATTTTCCACGCTACTTTTGTTACACTTCATAACTAATAATTTAATATTTTATGCATGACTGGAAAAATAAACAGGAATTCTGTTTTCCTGTTTGCCGGGCAGCCCTCTTTCGTATAACTTTTCCAAAAGAAAAAAGAAAAGGGAAAGAAACTGAGCAGAAAAGTTACAAAATATTAACGAAAAGGCAAAGCGCGACGAACGCATTTGGACTTAATATTTTTTTTTTTTCTTTCGTTCGCTTTTCCCTTCTTTGGCCATTTTGACGCCAAACACGTAGACAGCTTTTCCACTTTTCCCTTTTCCCATGGTTTCACCACCCCGCTCTTTTCTTTGGCTGTGCTAAAAAATCTTGTTAGGGGTACTTTCTGCTTTATTTGCATGAATCGTTTATCTCTTAAGTATATTTTGTTGTGTAAATTTTCAATGTGGCAGCCTCTGTAGCATACAAAGCATTCGCCGCGAATGTGCCACAAAGGAATACAAATATAATACCGGAATATCGGGGGCAATTAGAATGCCATTGTTTGGTTGCTTCTGAATATGCGAAAATCGCTCATGTTTGATTTCAAGGCTGATTTTGGTGGGTAAACAACATGTGTCAAGCAATGTGTGGGCGCCAAAACAGGCCTTTGAATTTATAAAATTTCCTTTTTGTGGCAGCCATAATTTACAGGTACGGAATACGAACTATGCAGAATTATAAAGGTTTCTATTATCTATTTATATTTCAATTGTTACAACAATTGGATAATTTGTACAGCCAGAAGGAGCAAATATTTTGAAGAAAATAAATGCAAAACAGCTCCCAATAGAAGCTGCTCTCAAGTGCTCTATTTTTTATAAATTTTTTAAACCCTGTTAACATCATACAACATTTTTTTAACGATGTCTTTCCTTATATACAGGGTATCTTGTGGCTCTTATCGCTCTTATCGCTCTTCTCTGACGTTCTCTTTTGTTTGCTAAGAATTCGCTAACAATTTAACAAAAATAAAAAGATTTTTTTTTTACTCCGAATTATGTGTATTTATAGCTCATTGGGTCCCCCTTCTTAGAGCTTAAACTGAATTCTATTACCATTCCACAGTAGAAATGATGACCTTAAACAAAAAAAATTCAGAAAAATTTCCAAGTGACATTTAATCTGCTTTCGGGCAACTTTTTGGCCAACTCATTGAGATGGTAAGGGAGGGGCGACACGACACACGGGTGCAGTGCGGCTTAATGAGAAATGCAAATGATGGAAGTAATGCGAAAAAAGGAAATCCCCGAGGGGCATAGGGACGGCTGAAAGATGTTGGGGTGATATTTTGCTGCACTCGTAAACAAAGTGCAGCTCAAGGATATGTGAACCCCGTGTGTCTTCACGGCTCTGCTCTGTCTGTCTCTTGGCGAATATTTAATTATTCATACGCCTCCCCCCCCTCCGACGACTGAACGCAAAGCCAGGGACAGAGAGTCGAGTCGAGTTGCGTCAGAAACAGAGACCCAAGTCGAAGACGACAGCCAAAGGGAAAAGTTTTTACCCGTTCTCCGGCTTAAAGTTGTTGTAAACAATATAAGTGGGCGTGCCCGGTATGGGCGGATGGGGAGGTGGGTGCAGCAAAAGTTAGCTGCAAGCAAAATTGGAAAGTGCATGGCAGTGCAACAAATATGAAATTTTCAACTTGTAATCAAATTAACTTTTGTGTGTGTTTTTTTTGTTGTTGTACAACAACAAAAAGTGTCAACAAATAATTGAAAATTTTTGTATCTCGGATGATTGCGGCTTCCAGCGAAAGTGAACGCTTGATATTTTGATTAAATTAATGGTAAAATAAGTTGAAAAAGAATTAGACAACGGGGGAGAAACTATTCTGTTATTGCCAAAGTTTTTAGCGTCTCTGTAAAAATTTCCTAATTATTTAAGAAAGATTATATACATACATATATATATTTAAATATTTTTGTATATTTTTGTTTATTCAAAACTTTATTACATTTTTTGCATCATTTTTTACCCAGCTATATTGCACATTTTCATTACTAATCCGCACATGATCCGCGCACCCCCCCCAGAGACGACTTTAAATTGTCAACAGCAATCGACGCTGTCGACGCTGTCGTCGTCGTTATCATCGTTGCCTTTTGTATTATCAGCTATCAGCACGTTCATCAAGCAGAGTATTTGCTGCCCCCAGTTGTCTACTTTATATACATACCTATATATATGGTACATATACTAGATATATTTAACACCCTCCCGCACGCTCCACTCGTTGGCTGCATTTTTATGTCCTTCACACATCATTCAGCAACAAATTGCTGCAGGCGAGCGAATGCTCACATAGCGGATGCTTGAAATCTATTTGAAAGACAAAAAAGAAAACGGCAACGAAGACAAACAGGAGTGAATATTAGCGTTGAGAGTAAGGACAATGGGTATACCCTTTGCAAAGCAACAGGCTGTATATATTAAAATATAAAAAAAAAGCGAAACGCAATGCTTAGGTGCGCAAAAATTACCTGCGATTTGTGCCCATCGTTGGGGGGATTACAAGCAAAATGTGTGTAAAAATATGTACAAACATGCATGCATTGGTGTAGAGTGTGTAGCAAAGCCAAAACCCACTTATTTCTGTGCATTCAAGAAGGTCAAGAATTATAGTTGTAGGTGCGAGCGAGTGGGACAGAGCTACAAGCTTCGTTGTGCTTGATAGACATGTGTGTGGAGTAGGCAAAGGTTTAAATACATATTTACATACATATGTATGTACGTATTAAGTTATTGTAGCATTCCTTATGGGACTGCATTTTTAAATTAATTTAATCTACTGCTCGCAGAATTTCCTTATGTCTGAGAAAGTCTCAATTAATTGTATACAATAAATACGAACATGATATATTATTCTTTATGCTGCTGCAATATTTTAATTTCTGAACTCCTTTTGCAATTTATTGCAGCAACCCAATATACCCTTTTGCACTTCTATGGAGCACCATGGGTATACCAAATGGTAGAAAGGAGTGTGGAATGTCAACAGGCAACAGGAAAGAAAAAAAAAACGTGTCTCTGAGAGTCGCTGGGATCCGTGACCAGGCGCTGCGTGTCCATTGGAGTCAGCACGTGCCACGAGCTTTTTATTATCATGAGCTGCAAGCCCTGGCAACTTTTTATTATCTTTTCTTATTTTTTTTGTTTGCAGCTCCCTTTTCCGGATAACTTTAACACTTTCTATCCAAAGAGACGGCGACCGGCGGAGGATATTCCTCTATCCATCTGAGAACTTTTCTACCTAATGGCGGGGAGTTTAAAGTTGTCCAAAAGGCCATATCCTGGCCTGTGATGGCCTGTGACGGTTTTAACGATCTGACCCACCGGCCGGGCAGCAGGTTCTTCATCTACATTATCGTAAAAATCAACTTTCGATATATTTGAGACTGAGTGTTATACTGGACTGTGGCCTGGCCATAAAAGGCAACTGCTTTTAACACAAATTGCCAACACGTTTGCTGCAAGTGCTGCCATGAGGCAGTAGGGAACATTAGCACAGAGAGCCGTGAGTGCGATTGAGCACTAAAATTAACGTTTATCTATAGCTATAGCTATATAAAAAAAACCAAAGCTACAATTAATTTGTTTTTAAAACAAGGCAAAAGAAAATTATCTTTAATGCATATTATCGGATTTTGCCTTTAAGCTATATTTTTCCATATTTTTCTGGTTATTTTTACTTATAAGAACAATATTTTTGACTGGTTTTTGGCATGGGCATAGCCACAAATAAATTGCAAAACAAAATTCAATTACTAAATGCAAATCCAAGGCGTCTGCCTACCTCTTTCTCTCCCTCCCTCTCTCTCTCTCGCCATCAATATGAACTGTGAACTCCAGGACCCCCAGGAACCCTTCATACATATGTGTGTCAAAAACCAAGAGAGCCAAAAGGCTTTTCCCCCCATTTTCTCCCATTTATTTAGCATATTTTAT